GGCAGTTCTGGGCTCTCGGAATTCCGTCACGCGATCCGGCTGGCCGACCTGATTCCCGACGTCGGCCGGTTTTATCCAGCACTGGCCACGGTGGATCCCGTTGAGGCTAAAACCAATCTAATTCTGCATATTTGGTGTCAAGCGTTCAAAATGGACGAGTAAGTAAAGGAACTTTCTTGTTGAACCAAAACGGTTTTATGATATATGTTCACTATACTGTCACAGTTTTGGAGGGTTCTAGTGTGCCCTTGCTCCCCCGGACGATTGTGATTTTCAAAAACTGCTTCGTTTAAACCTCTGATTGTCAGTGATGCTGAGCAGAGCATCATTCAGTGAGGCCAAGTAGGGAATTGAATCATGCACTNAACTATCCATACCCCCGGTCCTCGAGGTGGTCATTGTGTTCACTGTACAGCTTGCATTCTCGTTTGTTTCTGCTGCTTGTGCTGGACGAAGCAATGGTAAATAAACATAGGTTATGTAGCTACCGGATAACATAGACGAAATACGCAACCCATGTTTTCTGTAGGTTGTCAGCTCGTACATAATTTCCAATCGCTGTGCCGGTTTCTCTCTACGGCTCTTGATCATGACATCTTTGCTACAACAACAGTTTGAACGTATCTCATCACCGTTGGGAAGTCTAAATCTCCTCTTTCTCGCTGTGGTGCCACTCCTACAGATGGCCAAAGGTGGACGAAGGTGAAGATCCGGTTCAGGTGTGCAGTCGGAGTTTTGCATGCAAACTCGTTCACGATGTGCGAACACACTGTAAGTATCATGATTCATCATGCCCATTTATCTGTTCAGTTGTGCAATATGTTTTGCATCAAACGTTAACCTGACCGATTTATGTCCTGTCTTTTATCCATTCTTTGTCACTTTTATCTCGCCCTGAGGCTGTAAACTCCCGCATGGCAGCACAGCCCTGTATCCTCGTTCGATTTTCATCTGCGCTCAGTGGTTTAACTTGTCCAATTTATGGACATTTCCTCTCTCTCTCTCATCAGTCCTTCTGCTGTAACTTAAACCGTGTTACACTAGCGTTCAGGTAGTCAGTTTGTTAAGCACTGCTGAAAATTTACATTAAGGAAACCTGGCGTCTCTCAACAGTGGTGGCAAACAATCTCACTCTGCTCAAAATACCACGCCTAATCTAAACTAGGTACCAATACAGCTGCTTTGATCTCATTAGCACGGCACGAATCCAATGATCCAACCAAGGATCGAACCCGGGAACTCACAGGTAAAAGGCAAGCATATTATCCACTAGGTCGTCACTGAACAGCTGATCCAGTTTTTTCGTTTCTTCTACATACAAAATAGCAAACTTGTTAAAGGTATCTTACCACGTCTATCGTAATAGTACAGTTCTTAGTCTGTCGGTTCTCAAAAAATCAATCATAAAATCGGATTACTTCTTAAACTGCACATTTTTTTCATGTGTAGCATGATGAACAATAAAAGTTCGTGTCGTTAATTTTCTCCAGTGAGACGGTGTGTATCCAGCATTTAATTATATCACATTATTAAGCCTCAGCGTAGCATTTTACCTCGCGATGTGATTGTGTATTCAGGATGCGAATGACAAACCGAATATCCAACCATATACGACGACTGGGTTAACGATGTTCTCTTAATGACTTAATTGAACAGCTACCGTTTTCCTGAAACCACTTTCTACAATCTTCTTTATTTATTTATTTATTTTTAACGGAGACACAAATCTCCCTTCATTAAACACTACTCATCCTCAGTTCCCTAATTACTTCGTTCATTCTTCTTTTCTTTCTAAGGCTGGTGTCTGCGTCTATATCTATCGTACCTTTTGGCGTTACGATCCAGCCAACTGGGACGGTTTTCGTGAATTTCTGTCTTATTATCCCTGGAAGGATTGTTGTTTTAAATCAAACGTTTCCAAGTCTGTTTCAAACTTCAAGGCATGTATCTTTATATTCCACACTTCTCAAAACCCGGCAAATCTTGATCCCGAGTGGTTTAATCATACTTGCAACCGTGCTGTACGTTTCAAAATCTCAGCATTCCGTCACCCAATCCAACATCCCGCAAACCCTTCGAGCAAGCCGGAAACAAATGCTCGGTCACTATTCAGAGAGCTAAAGAACGCTTCATTTGTCACAGCTGCGCGCTTGGCTTCTTCCGCCACCGGTAACCAAACATTCTGGTCCCTCGCTAAAGCGGTTTCACGTGATTTCTGCCCTTCCAACTTTCCTCCCATTTGCAATTCCTCTGGTACACTTGTTTGTGATCCCCACGAAAAAGCAGAGGTTTTCGCTTCCCGGTTTGCCTCCAACTCCACCTTATCTGCTGCCCCTGCTGTTCAATCCTCCTCCTACACATCCCGTCATTCCTTTCTAACTATCATAACAACCAGAAAGGTCCGCCAAACTCTTTGCGGTCTGGATGTTTGTGAACCACCCGGTCCGGACGGTATTCCACCTGTCGTCCTGAAAATGTGCCCCAGAGTTAGCTTCTGTTTTACTGCGCCTTTTCTGTTATTCAGTCAAACTTAAATCCACTCCATGGAAGAATGCCATTATCTTTCCACCCTTCCAACCCCAACAACTACCGTCCCATTACTCTGCAATCTCGAAAGAGTTTTAAACCATTATCTCCGAACAGCTGCGTACGTTTCTTGAACGCGAAGGATTGTTAAATGACCGTCAGTATGGATTTCTCCCTCGTCGATCTGCAGGTGAGTTACTGACGCTCACATCACATTCCTGGTCGGCTGCACTCGATAACTACGGAGAAACTCACATAGTCTCGTTCGACATTTCAAAGGCCTTCGACCGCGTTGTGCACGAAGGTCTGCTGTCGAAATTACCCACGTTCGGATTCCACCCGTCTCTGGTATCGTGGCTTCGTTGTTTCCTCAGCAAGCGAATCATATCCGTTCGAGTAAATGGGGTCCTATCTCGGCCGTTTCCTGTGTACACCAGTGTTCCCCAAGATCCCATACTTTCGCTCACCCTCTTTCTTTTATTTATCAACGATCTTTTATTCCAAACATCTAATCCTATCCACTGCTTTGCCGATGATGCCACTCTCCATTGTTTCCTTTCTTACCCCACAATCCGTCAAGCTAATACCAATATCGATCACGATCGTAATGTCATTAATGCTTCCCTTACCTCCGATCTCGGACTAATTTCCGCATGGGGTTCTACCAACCATGTGTGTTTCAATGCTTCCAAAACTTCTCTCCTCTCAGTCTCTCTTAAACTTGTCTCCTTTTCTCCTCAATTGATTTTTGGTTCTCTGCCCTTTCGTTCCGCAAATTCTCTCTTCCTCCTGGGTTTATCCATACATTCTTCTCTCTGTTGGTCCCCTTTTATCTTTACACTTGCCTCTCGCACTGCGCGCAAAGTTGGTTTCCTATTCCGCGCAAGGCGTTTCTTTACACCCAAACACCTTTTATACAAAGCTCAAATCCGCCCGATGCTTGAATACTGCGGTCACGTGTGGAGTGGGGCTTCGTATTCCGCTCTTTCGCTCCTTGACTGTGTTCAATGTAAAGCCATCGGGCTGGTCGACGAACCGTCTTTAACTTCCATCTTGCGGTTGCTTTCCCATCGCCGGGCAAGTGCTTCGTTATCTCTTTTCTATCGTTACTATTTTGATTTCTGTTCTTCCGAACTCGCTTCAGCGGTTCCTCTTCCGTTGACCGTCTCTCGTCTATCTGATTCTCAGGCGACCAGTCACCTTTATCAAG